AACATGTTTTATGCTAAATATCTTAGCTTTAGCTCTTTGAGTTCTTTAAAAGATGATTTTTTAAGTTTTTGCTATTTGCATATAGGGAAAATCAATGACCCCCAGGGACTGGGCCAATTTTGACCCCAGGGCTTTTATTTGAACAAACTTGGTAGACACTCACTAGAAGATGTTTCATGTCAAATATCTAAGCTCTAGCTCTTTGTCAAATATCTAAGCTCTAGCTCTTTCGGTTTTTAAAAGAAGATATTTAAAGTTTTTTTTCTTTTGGTTGACATGGCAACCAGAATTCTGCATGGACTTAAATTCTTTGAACAATTTTTAAAGGTGACCACCAAAGGAACATTCCTGTGACGTTTGGATGAAATTGGCTCAGTGGTTTATGAGTAGATGTCATTTAAAGTGAAAGTTTACGAATGGCCAGACGACGGACGGACGGACGCCGGATGAAAAGCAATCACAAAAGCTCACCCTGTCACTTTGTGACAGGTGAGCTAAACTAGAACTGCCACTATCATGGCGTGAATACCCCCACATACCACTTTGTCAGAATCAACAGTGGCCATTTAGAGCTCAAGGACAACCTCCCTGCCAAATCTAAGGTTACTAAGCCAGTGCATTGCTAAGATTTGTATTCTACATGCTTCAAATGTGAAAATGTCAAAATCAATACATTGCGGACAGGACATTCTTCAGCAATTGAGAAGAAAAGCTTTTTTTGTCAAGGTCCCTGTGACCTTGACCATTGACAAGAGAGGGACATGATGGCCCTGAGGTCGCTCACCTGTATATAGGCCCCCCCCAACCCCCCCCCCCCCAACTTTGCGGGGCCAATTTAACCCAAGGGCTTTTATTTGCACAAACTTGGTAGACGTCCATAATAAGATGTTTCATGCTAAACATCTAAGCTCTAGCTCATTGGGCTTTTTAAAAGAAGATTTTTTTTAAAGTTTTTACTATACACATATAGTTAAAAACAATGACACCCCTGGGGCCGGGCCAGTTTTGACCCCAGGGCTTTTATTTGAACAAACTTTGTAGACACTTACTAGAAGATGTTTCATGCTTAATATCTAAACTCTAGCTATTTGGGTTTTTTCAAAGAAGATTTTAAGTTTTTGCTAATTTTATTACACATATAAAGAAAATCAATGACCACCGGGGCGGTGCCAATTTTGACCCCAGGGCTTTTATTTGAACAAACTTGGTAGACACCTATTAGAACATGTTTGATGCTAAATATCTTAGCCATAGCTCTTTGAGTTCTTTAAAAGAACATTTTTTAAGTTTTTACTATATGCATATAGGGAAAATCAATGACCCCCCGGGGCGGGGCCAATTTTGACCCCAGGTCTTTTATTTGAACAAACTTTGTAGACACTCACTAAAAGATGTTTCATGCTTAATATCTTAACTCTAGCTATTTGGGTTTTTTCAAAGAAGATTTTTTAAGTTTTTGCTATACACATATAAGGAAAATCAATGACCCCCTGGGGCAGGCCAATTTTGACCCCAGGGCTTTTATTTGAACAAACTTGGTAGACACTTATTAGAACATGTTTGATGCTCAATATCTTAGCCATAGCTCTTTGAGTTCTTTAAAAGAAGATTTTTTAAGTTTTTACTATATGCATATAGGGAAAATCAATGACCCCCTGGGGCGGGCCAATTTTGACCCCAGGGCTTTTATTTGAACAAACTTGGTAGACACTTATTAGAACATGTTTCATGCTCAATATCTAAGCCATAGCTCTTTGAGTTCTTAAAAAGAAGATTTTTTAAGTTTTTACTATATGCATATAGGGAAAATCAATGACCCCCCGGGGCGGGGCCAATTTTGACCCCAGGGCTTTTATTTGAACAAACTTGGTAGACACCCATTAGAACATGTTTCATGCTAAATATCTTAGCTCTAGCTCTTTGAGTTCTTTAAAAGAAGATTTTTTAAGTTTTTACTATATGCATATAGGGAAAATCAATGACCCCCCGGGGCGGGGCCAATTTTGACCCCAGGGCTTTTATTTGAACAAACTTGGTAGACACTTATTAGAACATGTTTCATGCTAAATATCTTAGCTCTAACTCTTTTGGTTCTTTAAAAGAAGATTTTTTAAGTTTTTACTATATGCATATAGGGAAAATCAATGACCCCCTGGGGCGGGCCAATTTTGACCCCAGGGCTTTTATTTGAACAAACTTTGTAGACACTCATTAGAAGATGTTTCATGCTTAATATCTTAGCCATAGCTCTTTGAGTTCTTTAAAAGAAGATTTTTTAAGTTTTTACTATATGCATATAGGGAAAATCAATGACCCCCGGGGCGGGGCCAATTTTGACCCCAGGGCTTTTATTTGAACAAACTTGGTAGACACCCATTAGAACATGTTTCATGCTAAATATCTTAGCTCTAGCTCTTTGGGTTCTTTAAAAGAAGATTTTTTAAGTTTTTACTATATGCATATAGGGAAAATCAATGACCCCCGGGGCGGGGCCAATTTTGACCCCAGGGCTTTTATTTGAACAAACTTGGTAGACACTCACCAGAAGATGTTTCATGCCAAATATCTAAGCTCTAGCTCTTATGGTTTTTTAAAAGAAGATATTTAAAGTTTTTTCTTTCGGTTGCCATGGCAACCAGAGTTCTGCATGGAATTAAATTCTTTGAACAATTTTTAAAGGTGACCACCAAAGGAACATTCCTGTGAAGTTTGGATGAAATTGGCTTAGTGGTTTATGAGGAGATGTCATTTAAAGTAAAAGTTTACGGACGGACGACGGACGGACGGACGCCGGACGAAAAGCGATCACAAAAGCTCACCCTGTCACTTTGTGACAGGTGAGCTAAAAAGGCAGATGGTTGTCTAAAGCATATATTAACTATAGTTGTAAAGATTAGTATTCAGTTGTTGCCTTTCGTTTTTCTTCTTTATATATATATATATATATTCAGTGTTGTATGGATTGTTGGCTCGTCTATTCCTTTTCGAGCGAAAAGTAGAGCAATCAAACGTTTGTCAGTTAATCTTGGTTTTGAAAACCTGCATTGTCAGATCCAATCGTTAATCCGTAGCGGCATGACTGGAAGCTGACATCAATTGAACAAGGTAAGTTAACTGGCTTTATGAACATTTACTGTATTTAAGTAACCGAGTGTTGTGTTTTGATTCCGTTGCAAGAATCATAGGATTATGCCCACGTCAGTTCAAGGGAATATACACCAAGGTGTTCTTGTACCATTCAGAGGTGACATTATATCTTCAAGTAGTTTAGTATAGAGTCAGGTTCCCAAGTTATTTGCAAAATCTCTATACGTTCCAGTTTCATAGGTAGTCAGCATTTAATTTCATACATTATACATATTTACCACATTTCCAGCTATGTGTGTGAAGCAAAGGAAAATTGCAGCAACAAAATCAAAGTGATAAAACAGACAAATTTCTGGGGCGGGTAGCAGTGCTCATAACAAGGCCAGACATAATAGGGACAAAAACAATACAAATGACACTATGTCTTTTCCTCTTTAGATGCTCCAATTTCCTCCCAAATTTCGAAAAGAATTCAAAAAAGAATATAGAAAAACAAATTTGTGGATTTTGGTTTAATGTTGTCGGTATCTTGGGGCCACAACCGGAAAATGTCCTCAATTATTTTTAAAAAATAATTATTACTGAAATAGTTTCAGCAGTTTGCTTGTCTTTGAGGGCATATTTAAGTCCTGATTCTGGAAATTCAGGCTTTAATTTATGCTTATGGTCGCGATTGGCAGAATTTGTTTCCCCAGATAAAACAATTAGTTGTACTTGTAATATGTTTTATGTTGTTTATTGTTTTACAAGCTATGCAAATTCCTGAATCTATGTAATCGAACCACCTGCCACCCATAAATATATTTTATTATTATAAAATGATTTATGGCAAAGGTGGTTCATAAAAATTTGGCTAAAGCCACCTTGCTCTTTGTGTTATGGTATTGGAATGGCACAACATGGTGCAAATGTGGAAGGTGCCGAGAAATGGGGGCTGAACTAGACAACACGTGTTCTGGCTGCCTGCTAAGAAATTGTGTCGCAACAAGAGATATAAGACCAATTTTATACTAAAAATCAAAAATGCTAACAAAACAATGCGCTATTCAGCATATAGGAATTTCACCCTCTGTAGGCAGGGACGACTTGGTGGTGGTGTACGAAGTGTTGTCCCTAGTTGCTGTGTGCTGTTAATAAGAGGACGGTACCCAAGTGTAACAGGGAGCTACACTGGCTTCATTATTAACTAAGGGAATAAATAAGGCTAAAGAAGATTTTAATGACAAAAACAAGAGACAAATTTGGTTGCGATTAACAAGGCAAAAAGTTAGTGCAAAGACTAAGCTTAAAAAATTAATGGTAAAAAGAACCTGTGAGAATGAAGAAACAAGAGGGCCATAATGGCCCTGAGGTCGCTCACCTGTATAAAGGCACCCGGAGCGGGGCCAGTTTAAACCCCAGGGCTTTTATTTGAACAAACTTGGAAGACACCCATTAGAAGATGTTTCACAATGTTAAGTTTTTACTACACACATATAATGAAAAACAACGATCTACCCCCCCCCCCCCCCCCCCCCGAGCAGGGCCAATTTTAACCAAATGGCTTTTATTTGAACAAGTTTGGTAGACACTCATATGAAGATGTTTTATGCTAAACATCTAAGCTCTAGCTCATTGGGTTTTTTTAAAGAAGATTTTTTAAGTTTTTACTATCCACATGTAGTTAAAACAAAAACAAATGACACCATGGGGTGGGGCCAATTTTGACCCCAGGGCTTTTATTTGAACAAACTTTGTAGACAATTACTAAAAGATGTTTCATGTTTAATATCTAAACTCGAGCTATTTGGGTTTTTTCAAAGAAGATTTTTAAGTTTTTGCTATACAAGTATATAAGGAAAATCAATAACACCCGGGGCGGGGCCAATTTTAACTCTAGGGCTTTTATTTGAACAAACTTAGTAGACACTCACTAGAAGATGTTTCATGCTTCATATCTAAACTCCAGCTATTTGGTTTTTTTCAAAGAAGATTTTTTAAGTTTTTGCTATATACATATAAGGAAAATCAATGACCCCCGGGGCTGGGCCAATTTTGACCCCAGGGCTTTTATTTGAACAAACTTGGTAGACACCAATTAGAACATGTTTCATGCTAAATATCTTAGCTCTAGCTCATTAGTTCTTTAAAAGAAGATTTTTAAGTTTTTACTATATGCATATAGGGAAAATCAATGACCCCCTTGTAACATAGTGGCACTTATAGTTAATTAATTATACATGTTTTAATTATCTTAATTGATTTATTTGATTATCAACTTTTAATTAGTTTTATTTGCAAGCTTCATTACTCAATTATATGTCGATATCATATACATTTCTTTGGAATGTTGTCTCATAAAATTTGAAAGTTTAACTACATATACATTACTGGCAGTGAAACAAAACCGTGTTATTTGCCTACCAGCTGACAGATGTTGTTTATGTCGATTATGATATTTCAATATTTAAGTACAGTTTGTCAATTTAGACATTAAAATGACAATTGAATATAAACCATTTTAATTGTTGTGATGAGTGTTTATCAATATAACATTTGACCAAAAGTCAAATTTGAATATGTAAACGTGCTTTTGATTGGTTATAGGGCATAACAAAAGTTTGTTACACTAAAAGTGATTGGCTACTTTTGTATGTCATTTAGCTGTCATAAGCATGTGCAAAGTCATTATAAAAAGCATTGCGTTGTTTTAACAGTGTTGAGTCTCTCGTAGTTCTGTTCTTGAAATACTTAACTTATGTTAAAGACAGTCATTGAATAAATCACTATACGATCCTTTTCGTTTGTTAATTATTTTAAGAATAACGTTACATTAACTTAAATATTTTTGGTGCCGTGACCAGGATCAAACCTCGGTTGGAAGGAAAACTTTGACAGCACCCATACTAAAGGTTGGTTTATTTTCTTAGCATTTTCCTATTTACTTCATTTAGCTAACTTTACTTTTAAATTAGTAATAATTTAACTGGTATTATTTTACTTTTGAAATTAAGATTTTGGAATAAAAATGGCTGAAGCTGAGGAAGATTTTCGTGAGGTTTTAAGGTTATTAGCCGTTGAGATGGGAAATGTCTCTACAGCTTTCGTGGCACAGGGTATTTCGCAAGTGGTCAGTAACTTCGATGGCAACCCAACAAACTACAGAGACTGGGTCAAATCCATTGAAAAATACAGGGGGCGCTAATTAGAATGGGGGCTATAAATAGAAATAATACGGTAGGAAGTATTTTTATTTTAATTTGTTACAGTTTGGAGATCGACTGTCGTCAGATATTCAAGCCAGGACAATCGGGAGTTGCTCTTGGACGGGCTCGAGAAACAAAAGGTCTACAAGTGATCAATTTTAATATAAAGAAAAGTGTAATTCGTGCTTATGTCCTGAATTTCATGCAAAAAGCATCTGCTGACTTTCAAGAGGATAGAAGTTGTTGCAACAATAAACAACAAAGGTAACCATTATTCATTTTCTAAGTGCTGAAAAGGGCCATAACTTGGTGCAAATGGAAGCCATAGTTATGTAACTTGCCCAGATCATATACTTTGTATGGATTAGTAAGTGTGAAAATTATGAAGCCATTGGTACAGGTAAAACTTAAGAAATATCCAACTTGCCGTTCTAGGTTAACCTGGTACGGACATACCAACTTTTGATATTTAAGAGGCAAATCAGCTCATAAACTACACCTGGACGTAAGTCCATAAACTGAATTTAGCTCACAAAAACAAAAAATAGCTCACAATATGAATTTTATGAGTTTTTGTTCTTTATTTAACTATGGAATGAAGCTCATAAATATCAAATGTTTGCTCGGACGGACAGACTGACGGATGGTTCAGTTACTATATGCCCGGGGGCATAAAAACAAAATCATATTTAAAGTGATTCATATGTTGAGATCAATGATCATTTTAACTATTTCTCCAAATGAATCTATTGTTGTTACTTATTATCTTAATGTTACAATTAAATCGTTTTCTTGATTAAAATGTCAACACTGCACTTTCAGTTTGTCATTTATCTTGATTGATGCTTGACACTGACACAATTCTTCATATTAATTCATGTAAACATTCAAGAAACATGTATCTGTGAATGCACTATAATAAGGGAAAAATATATCTTTTTTTTAAAGAATGAGATTAGTGCCATGACAAGTTGGGAAATGGAGGATCTCCTTGTGAATACAGTTCAAATAAACCCTGGTCTCATGTTTGTTGTTATAAGGCCAGGTGTTGTGTACCACAAGGGGGTTTTCACCCATCCGGACAGTCAACACCACCTTGGTGCAGATGTCAAAAATGCCTTGACATGCACACTCCAGTTGACAGGTATGTTATGGAAAAAGAGTTTGTATCATGAAACTCATGTCATTTAATTATAAACATTAATTTTAAATTCAATGAAAATCACTATAAAAATACAATATACAGTTGAGACTGCCTTAGCGACCCCCTGATTTCAACGACTCCCTGTCTTATCCGACCTTGTTTCAGTCCTCCCAACATATTTTCTTATATAAATGGTCTGAATTATACAACTCCCTGTCATATGTGACAAGCGACCCTAATTATCTGGTCCCAATGCATTGCCTTGTCTGATTTAAACGACTTTCACACCTTTAAATTGTCCGTTAATCAGATAAATAATACCTGTTTTAACACCCAGAGAGACAAAATAATTAAGTCCAATTATAATCCAGTAGTCAGTACTCTTCAAACAAACTCTACACACCTCTGATTACATGTATATATGCAGGTGTCAAGTGACATAGGACTTCCGTTTCCGGTTTCCAGAAATAGACAAAAGTTTTTGTTATCAAACAATTTAACGTATATTAATAAGGTGTTTAACCGTAGTTACTTCAACTCCAGAGGCATATAATTATAGAATATAGGCATCACTATCAGGGACAACCGCATACAACCTCCTAGACCTTCTAGAAGCTAATCAACAATCTACGCAAACCCCAACGTCTTCTAGAAGTATACCCCACCCACTACCATTATTAGCGTGCACCCTTTCCATGCTCCTAAACTTTCGAACCATTAATTTAAGTGAAATTTTAATATTTTATATATATAACATATATCTGGGTACCACGTCACAAAATTATTTAAAGTGTTATTATTATTATCGATCAATTTGATCGCAGGGTGTGTTTGGTTTGTTCACCTGTTTACGTGAGTCTATCCTAATAAGAACAGCATAAAATAGAATTTTAGATCAATTATATTTAAATTTTTAATCACAGTTTATACAAATTGGCGGCTGGTCCGTAGCTATGTTGAACAAGATTGCCCGTAAAGGGCCATCTTGTCACCATTTGGACCATTCGAGGATCTTAGGCAAGCCTATAGATCAGCAAGAGGCCCATAGGGTATTAAAATCAGTATCGAGGAACGTAGGGGTCCTCAAGGGCTTAGATGGCAAACTGTCATCAATCAATTTAAGAACTTTAGCACAACAAATTTAAGTAAAAATCCAAAACGTGGAAAAAGCAACACCGCTCACGTCCGGCTCGGTAATGCTGGAATTTGTTTCCAGGGAAGCCTATGTTAAGGCCCTAAACATAGGTGAAATAGATATAGTATAGCCGGGATTCGAACCAAGGTTGCGTCTCTCCCAGGGGAAAAGTTATTTGAAGTGGTTATACATGGTGTACCTCTAGGAGAGGATCTATCAGTATTCCGAAACAACTTACAATTTGTTGGGGGGGGGGCGTCTCACTATTAAGGGCTGATAGATTAAAGAACTAAAACAATCAAATGTCATCGGCCGTTAAATTGACATTTGCGGGGACCGTCCCCTTGAATGTATTTATCAAAAGTGAAAACACGGCAATCGTCTTTCAGACAGAAACATATGTACATCCGCCAACACGTTGTTTTTTATGCCAGGGTTTCAGACATGTGTCCAAATCCTGTAAACAAAATGTTATTTGTGGGCGTTGCGCAGGGGGCATAACACAAGGTCATGCCTCTCACATAATATAAAATGTGCTAACTGTGGCGATGAACACTCCGCCGCCTATACAGGCTGTGTGGAGTATTTCAAAGCCACAGGTATCACAGCAGTGGCAAGACTGCACAGTCAGTTAATTGGGCAAAAGCTTGCCTGATTTTCTCAAAAGAAGAGGCCCAGATAAAAGCAGAAAATGAAAAAAAATTATTGGGGGAACCGTCTCCTAGTAACCCCCCCCCCCCCCCCACAAAGAGATATACTTGTCTTCCAAGATGAACAGCTTGTGGAAAGAGAAGATGACTTCAAATAAAACAAAAATGTAAATGCAAAGATTGCTTTGAATGCTCCACAAAGGACTGGAATGTTGCCCCTGTCCAAAAACCTGGTAGAACATGGAAAAAGAGGGAGTATCTAGACCATGACTGGAATCAGAGCAAAACATTCCCCAGCACTCCAATGACTCATTTGATTCTACAGACCAAAAAAACAAGTTCAAATTACATCTCGTGGAACTGTCATTAGAACAAAACGAACAGGAAGGGACATTATTGTATTAAACATATCATATTTTGAGCCAGAAACTGTTTTCAAAACTCTGAATGAAATTTCCATCATGATGATTAATCCTGAAACATCATAGTTCTTCAGAAACCTAGCTAATGGTGAATTAAAGAAAGACCTTGTTTTGTTGTGGACAATGGACCATCAACTGCTCCAAATAATATGAGAGTGAAGATGTGTCTCCTTTGACTTTTTATTTTTTTGAAATTACACAGTCTTATGCTAAATATAATAGCAAATGGAACCCTCTGGTGAGAGTTTATGCCGAAGAAATCAAAGCAATGTCAAGACATGATAGATAATTTGAGGTTGAAAAGTTCATAAAAGTTGGTTCAAATGAACATGAAATTGTTTTAGAAAGCATGCTACCTGAGGTATCTTCATGTTTATGAAGTGCTAACTTTAACAATGAGAGTCTGATGACTGTGCGTGGAAGTAAAGAGGATACTAATGTATTTTCAAATGAGAAAGAGTTTTTGGACACTTCCTGATGATATGAAAGAGTTAAATGAATCAAATTACTTAGTGGAGAATAATAAAACCACTGAAGAACTTAATATATTGTGGAATGTTGACATGAAATTTGAAAGAAAGTATGCAGAAGATCTGTATGAACTAGGAACAAATGCAAAGTCAAATAAGTATACTTTCAGGGTATGCGAAAATGAAAAAGGTCATGAAAAAAGGTCATCTGCAGCCTATTCCAGATTATGTAAATTTCAAAAGAACAGGAAAGTTCCATTACTGTGATAACAAGACTACAAAACAAATTTTCCAAATTAGTGAAAACAATGAGGTGAGGAATGAAACAGACTTTTTCCTTCCATCAAGGGTTTTATATATAGCCTTCTTGATTTTTGACAATCCATTCCCATACATAAAAGAGCAAATTTCAATACTACCATGGAAATCCCCAAATGATGTGGAAAAATACCTTAAGCAGAAAGAAGAAGAAGAAAAAGATTAATAGAAAAAGACAAAGACTGCGAAGTGGAAGGGCAATTCCTTCTTCAAGCTAAAAAAACAGGAATTAATCAATATGTGTAAGCAGAATGACGTTAACCATGAGGGAACAAAAGTAGAATTGATACAGCGCCTCTCCTTGACTAAAAGAGGATGCTTTTAATGAAGAAATAGTATATTCTTGAGATCTTGAAATGGTGCCAAATACATTTTCAGGTATATCTTCATTGACTGTTTCAACAGTAAGAAGTATCCTTTTTCATCATAGGATAAAAATTGTTGGGTCAAAAGAAGAACTGGTCCTTAGATTATTTATGTTAAAGCACCAGCCAGATTTAATTTCTAAATGCAAGAGGAAAGTTCTTTTAGATCTTATAAGATCATGTGAACATTTCATTAAAATTCAAGTGCAACAACAGCTTGTGTCATAGACCATGAAAGAACATTTCCTTCAAATCAACTCTCAACAACTGGACAGAAAGTCTTCAACAACCCCATTTTAAGTAGAACATTTCAACTGCCTGTTTATATTCAGGAAAATAACCTACCAGATTTATCTAACACTCTAAAGGAATATATACTTGAGACAGATAAACAAAAAGACACAAACAAAGCTACCAAATCTCTAATGAGTATAAAAACACAAGGAACTATCATAAAGATCAAGTCGTTGAGAGGAGATGTCTCTGGCACAGGCTGCCAGCCAGGTAACTATATTGGAAGTTCAAAAAAGAAAATTGATGTCCTTCAGGCAATTTTTTTAAAAACCATCGCTTATGCAGGTATCCTCAGATATTCAGTTCTCGATATAATGGAATTCCCGATAGAATAAATAATCGCGTGTTTTTTTTTCACGAGTTTGACGTCATTTGACAAGGAAACCTCCAAGTCAACACTGTGTATTCAGCTGCTTCAATAAAAACTGTTTTCACGGTAAAAATGTTCAGGATAAAGGTAAACTTACTCTTTTATTTACAAATCATCAATTTTATACAGTTTTCACTAATGCTTTTTTTCTGTTTTATACAATCCTCCATTTTAATTTATCTGCAAGCCTCTGACAGCAGCCGATGGATGACGCAAGCAAATCAACATTAGTTCTAAAAATAGACCAAGTGATACGTCACTAGCACCTGTCAAAAAAAATAAAATATGGAAGCAAATCAGGGCCATAGATCTTATTAATTGCAATAGTTAAATACAGACTGGACACAATCTGTATTGAATCTAAGTTGATGTTAAGACCATCTAATAAAGGAAATGAACACATTTTTGTTATTTATTCATGTTTAATATATGTGGTATTCAAAATAAGCCAAAATATGCATTAAAAGATTGTTTATTCTGGTTCATTTCAGCTTACTCAACCTGCAGATAGGTCAAGACTACGGCTATGGTCACCAACTGCTATGACATCAGCTTATAAAATGGTGAAAGATGAAGGAATTCCAGTATATAGAGCTGCAAAGCTAAATGGAGTTCCTCTTACTACTTTGAGAGACCGGGTTGATAATAGAATATCAATTGATTGTGTCAAATCAGGACCCTGCCCTGTGCTTTCTTTAGATGAAGAAGCTAAATTGTTGAACACTTAAAGATCTTGCTTCTGTTGGATATGGTTACACGAGGCTGAAGTAGTCAATTTAGCCTCTGATTATGCTGTTTCTTTAGGCAAGAGGAAAGATGATCAGCCATTCACTCTTAATTGGTTTTATAACTTCATAAAAAGGTGGCCAGAACTTAATGTTGTCCGTCCTTCAAGTCTGTCTGAACAACGTGCTAAATGTGCCAGTGAAGAATCTGTCACTAAATACTTTTAATGAACTTGAAAGAATTTTACGTAAATATGATTTATTTGACAAACGCACCTTATCTATAACATTGA